AAAATAAAAGAGAAATGACAATGCAAATGTCACATGGCAAGGGTTGAAATTGAAAGCTCCTAGCTAAGGCATGTAACTTAGGGGGCATGTTGGGCAATTTTGAGCCTTTAATTTCCATTCTTTTCATAAAAACCTTAACCAAACCCCATTACAACCCAAGGAAAAGTCCTTTTTGAGGGTTTTGAAGCTTTAGAAATTGAAATGATGGCAATCATTAAACTAAGAATAGCAAATCGTGATCAAATTCAAGAGCTAATAGATTCAATGATGAGAGGCCATGTTTGTTTACATTGTCCTTAGTCACCCCTTTGAGCCTAAAGAAAAGGCAATCATCCAAATTATAAGAGCCAAGATGATTCTCTTGTGAATTTACCTACATCATGAACTTGGGGAGTGAAGAGTGATTGTGAAGGGAAAATACCTAGCGAAAGAGATTTTGACCCTTCATATCCTTCTTTTTGATAACTTAACCCAAAGCCACACTACAAACCAATAAAAGTCCTTATCAAAGAATTTAACAGCTTTTAGTTTGATCATGAATTTTCGTCAAAAAAAGAGAGAGAGAGAGAGAGAGAAAGAGAAGAAAAGAGGGAAGAAAAGGGTGACCTAGCAAACTAAATGTTTCCTTGACTTTGAAAGTTGAAGATCCAATGATAAAAGGCTTTCTTTCTCTATCCCAAACAGTTAACATTGTCCTTTGCTTACCCTTTTTGAGCTAGAAAAAGGCAATCATCCAAATTCAGAAAAGCTAAGATGATTTTCTTCTTATTAATCCACATTAATGACCGAGGTTGTGAAGAGAGAAATGTGAGCAGAATATATGAAGAAATTGATTTTGAGCCTTTATCCTTTCTTTCATAATAGCCTAACCCTAAGCCATGTTATAAGCCTGTACAAAGTCCTTATTTGAGGGTTTGAAACTTTCTTTGTCAAGGAACATTAAAAAAAAAAAAAAAAAAGCCTTTCTCTAGTGAGTCCAAGTTAGTTAGCTAGGTGGTTTATGATCGGTCTTCTAAACATTGAAGATTAGTTCATGGGAAGGAGATTGGATTTCTCCACCTTGGCATGGAAGTATACATTGTCTTATATGTTAAAGACTGGATTGGTGGAGTTACAAAGAAATAAATTCTTGAAGCAAATACTTCATAGCCTTAATGCCTTCTAGCTTTGTTAAAATTGTTGCATCAAAAGTTATGCAATTCAAAAATCATGCTTATCTCTTTCTATCTGTACATATTATCCATACCCTGGCCTTCTTTTCCTTATTTAGATTGGGATGCTGATTGGTTATGATGCTTTATTTCAGTTAATATAATTGTCGAAATCTCTTGACAAATCAAAAAGAAAAAAAAATGAAAGTCGCAGAGAAAAGCAAAAGCTTGATTCAATGGTCATGGTGCTTATCCTCTCTTGCAATGATTCAAGAATTTTTCTCAGTGAACTAGAAATGCTCTCAAATCACTGAACTTTATGTAAAGCATGTCATTGAGCCTATTGATAAATGTGCAACATGAAGGACACCGGACTCTTGTCAAATATGGACATCCAATATGTTTAGAGAAGTTTCTTAATCTCTCTTCATTTTACATTATCTCATATATGAAGATTGTCTCACTTGCATCTATTTCATTATCACAGAACTTGCAAACATTATTTTCATCCGGCCCTTGGGCCGCGTTTATCATCATTTCTGCCTCATTGCTACTCAACTTGCTCAGTCATTCGACCGTGTTGACGACCACTTAAGATTTTTTTCAAAATAAATGAAAAGATCAGTGTGAAAAATATAAAAAAGAGGGAGTCGCCACTCGTCCAAATTATAAGGTGGAACAAGTCACCTAAAATGAGTCTGCGCAGAGATCGGGGTTCGAGGGTTCAGTTATGAGTGAGGAAGGGTATACTCGCACCTCACAATCCTCCGTTTAAACATGGTTGCATACTTTAACATTGGGGGTTTTGATTCAACTTATTTATTACATTTATGTTTGAGTCTTAATAAGCAAACTTAAAAAAAAAGATAAACTAAATCAAAACATTTTTTTTTATTTTTGGACTGAAATAAACAAAATCAAGGACATGCATGCACAATAAACACAAATAAAAATTAAATGGACTGATTTGATTAAAATGAAAAATAAAGGACTGATTTGAAAAAATTTAAAACTTTTGGACTAAAGTGCTTGAACATGAAAGGATTGTGCGAAATTGAAATAAAAGAGATAACTTTTGATTTTTTTTACTTTTTAACCTTTTTAGTTTTTTTTTTTTTTTTATTGGATTGGGTCGCGTTGATCCAACCCAAAAACACGAACCCACCAACCAAAATGGGCAAAAACAGATTAAAACCTAAAC